GACTTAGAATCTCTCTTGCTTTATGTACTTTACTTACTTGCATAACAGAAGTCAGAAATAAATCTTATTTTGCACAATAATGGTCTAAAGAGACTACATTCATTTGTCTTCCCCTGTTTATGGATCACTCACTATGCCAGGCAGGACTGCACATGTGTTGCATCTGCCGCAACCATTATTGCAACCGACTGCAGGAGAGCTGGCACTCGGGCCAAGGACCACAAAAGTGAGATGGCGGAATGAGATGCCAGTGTGTCTGCCAAATGCACTTAACGATTCTACTGCTGTCACTTCAAAAATGAAAAGAAACATGTCACTGCTTTAAGGATATGTTTTCTTCAGATAACGTATGTCTCCTTACTGTGAGATTGTTTCTTGAGATGCTAATGAAATGAAACGGCCGAAGGAAGGACCCAAGCTGGAGAAGGGACATGCTGACATTTATAGTTTCCATGTAAGACATTTGCACTCGAGATATTTTAAAATGGCTGCCCTTCCAGACCAGAGAAGCAGAGCAGGGTGGAAAGGGCTGACCCCTTACATAGAGGGAAACTGCTTATCTCCAGGCGATTTTGATATTCCAGACCCCACCGATCAGCACTGAGGCCAAGGAAAATTTAAAGGGCCGAACAACTGCTTTTCAAATCGTGAGATCTGTGACTATGAAAGTGCCATTATGGCTCAGACTACCTGTGATTCTTGGAAACAGCCTCTGACATCTTACTTTTACCCCCTGTCTGTGCCAGCCGGTCCCTGAAGTTTGAATCCAGTTCCCTGGACTGTCCAGGGCTAGAGATTTGAGCCAGCCTTCACTGAAAGAGGCAGAGACCCCAGGGCAGCAAGGATCCCTCAAAGGGCCTGCTTTTGACGAAGGGGAAGGAGGTGAATCCTGGGGAGACTTGTCCTGTAGCAGGTGCTGCCGCAGAGACGCGGGTGAAGTGTTCCTGGAGGTCAAGGGCCAGATGTGGGTCCCACTGAGGAGGTGGTGTTTGCAGTGGCCCCCGAGGGACGAGGAGAGACTGCAGGTGGGAACAGGGCAAGGAGGAGAGCATCTCGACTGGAAGCTCACCTCGAAGGTGGGAAACGGAGGGGCTCCAGCCACAGCAGGTGCTGGGGAAGCTGCAGGGCGGGCCTCAGAGGCTTTCTCTCCCAGGTGTCTGCAGATTCAATTACATGTCGGTTTGTTCTTATCAGCACATTGGTCATTTCACTCAAAGCCAATGTGATTTGATGTTGGCTCCTTTTTTTTTTTTTATTGTGAAAATAAATTAATATCTTAGAATCAGAATGTGACCTGATTTGTGATCCAAAAATCAGGGGTATCAGGTCCAAAAGGGGGTTATCATGGGTGAATTAGGGTCTTGGCCATTGGAGGACAGAGGCTTTCCGAAGGGAGGATAGGTAAGATCCGAGCACAGAAAGATGAATCCTGATGTGGGGATGGAGGGAGGACGGGAAGGAGAGAGCCTCTTTGCAAATCACCCTTAAGCGCGTGGGTAATGGAGAGAACAGCTGCGGCTAAGTGGACTGCTCACAAGGGTCTTCGTAAGTGATTGAAGGTATTTTTACACTTTGTGAATATCAGGGTCTGGGAAGCCTGACTTGAGAAAAGAGATATATTATAGGATTTTTTTTAATGGCATGTTGTAATTAAGGTTTCCTTGGCCCCCTATTAAAACTATACAGTATTTCCCGAGCACACACAAACGGATTAGCAAAGGGAAGACACGAAGGCACTGTGGGAGGGGGAAGCCAGTCAGGATTAAAGTGCTGCTGCAAGTAACCGCTCCTGCTTATCCTGAAATAACTGCCTTTGTTATTATTAACACAGGAAGGCTGCGTCAGAATCTTCGGCAGTAATTTACTCGCCCAGATTCCACTATTTATCTAAAAGGAGATTTCATTATTCCGTGAAAAAAGCAATTGTGAACATTTCCTAGGAACCATTTGTACCGAAAAGGGACATTTTAGTCCCAGATGGATGTTTTTTAAAGTGCACGTTTTTATAAAAAAAAAAAAAAATGTTTTTGTATTGTGACTACATGTAATTCTTTCTGTGCATCTTATTATATCTGATGATGTTTCCTTTAACTTAAAACATGCTGTTGAACTTTCCATACTTGTACATTATTGATTAGCTGGTTTTGGGATTTTTGGAAAGAAAAGCAGCCTCTTCCAAAGGATTTCAATCAGACCTGGACAACACTATGAAATAGCTGGCATTTCTTTCCGGGTCTCTGTGTCCTTAAATCCCTTTAAACCGTTTCCTATTTTCCCATCTGTTCCCGTCATCTCCATCCTCCCCAGGGCTCTGCAGCTGGGCCACCCGCTCCCCCCCAGCCCTCTCCAGCAGCCTCACTCCCAGCAAGATCTTCCTTCCATCCCCTTTCTGTCACCCATTTCCCCATCCTTCAGGTTTTCACAGACAAATCCCTACTGTGCTAATGTGTCACTTTCCTTGGTAAACTATTACAATCTAATACCCTTTAGTGGTTTGACCGAATGAAGTAATTTTAAAAGGAACTTGGGTGCCGCCGTTTCCTGGAAGGGAAGAGGCTTGTAATGTATAAAGAATTATGGAATCATCAGGACACATAGTCTGGCTGCGAAGAGAGTTAAGCATATCCTTGCATCAGCCTTTCGATCAGAATAAGGTGGTAAAACTGCAAATTAAAACTGATTTTTTAAATCATTCTCATTGGAATCAGATGACGAGGTTATTTGCTGGTGCTTCCTGGGATGGTGGTCCATCACTGAAGACCCCAAATGAATAGCGCATCAGCTCTAAAACCTGAGTCGTGGGGAAAGCCTAGGAAGTATGAGATGTTGCAATAGGAGAAAAGAATTTAGCATTCGCCTCGTACTAAGGACAACACTTGGGGAAAACTGCACCTGGGTGTCAACATGGCTCTTAACAGGTGGAGGTGAGGGGTGGGAAGGGAGGACTGAACAAGGAATTGCTATCCTTGTCAGCCAGCCCATGGATCAGGAGTAATTATCACAGGCCCAGAAGGCCCTATGCCCCATTCTTTAATTTGAATTCCACAAATCTGGGAATATATTTTGTACATTTATCCGGGGGTGGGGAACATCCAGCCAGCAGGCCATATAAGGCCCATGAAATCATTTGGTCTGGCCCTGCCAAGGCGTTAGGGGTGAGTTAATTAAATGTTTGACCAAATGCAACAAGTTAATTTTTAAGTTGATAATTCTGTATGGCCCGTGAATGATATAAATATCCAAATGGCCCTTGGCAGGAAATAGGTTCCCAACCCCTGATGTACACAGTTAATGATCTTTATTTTTTTTTTCTATATTTTCTTTTTTATTTATGGAGTGTTTTCATAAGGATTTTCTGAAAATGCAAACCTGTATTAAGAATAGACAAAAAAGGTCTCTGCCCTCATTTGGGAAAACGGACCTAGACTGGGTCCTAGTAAGTGGGTGGGAGGGCAGGGATGGAAGTACAAGGATCCTCAGAAGGACATGGAAAGGCGAGAGGAAACGTGGGTAGGACATCTATTCTTCTGCCATGACATGGCTTTTTCTCGACCCAGCCCTGGGAGAACGTTACGCTTGGTCTGAGTAAGTCCAGCCTGGGCACTTGGAGAGAGGACAGGTGGCCCCAGGCAGAAGCAGTAAGGGGAGCTGCCTGGGAAGTGCTGGCCACATTTCCTGCCCCCTCCCCACAGCCTCAGTTACCTAGCGATTAGCACCCAAGCAAACCAAAACCAAGCCCAACCTATGAACATCCTCGATAGTCCTAAGGAGCTTATTTTTTAAAAATACAGTCAAATTTTATCCCAGTCTTACTTCAAACTAAAAATGAAGCATAAGTGAATCCATTGTAACTATTTCGGTCTGAATTAAAAAAAAAAAAAAAAATTCAGTCATGGAACTGCAAAATAGTCTTTCCTCCCAAACTGGTAACTCCTTCCTCCCACGGACTGCTTGTCATTCCCTTTATAAGCTGGTTTTTAAAACTGTGATTTTTATTAACTGGGAAGTGTCAACATTCATGCAAACTGCCGTGATAAACTACTGCCATACTTCAATGTAATGATTATAAGTTAGCTAAAATAAATAAATATCGCATTAATGCCTTAGGTCATCATTTCTAGTTCTATTTGGTTGCTTCTTTTCATTGAGCATAATTTTTTGAATCCATGTTAATTTTCATACCTGACTACTCTGCTATGTAATTTTTCCAATAGACAGATTTATAAATCAATGCATCATATGATTTTTCTATCGAGTAGTGTGCAATAGAGATGCTCTTCTTTACACAATTTGAGTTAAATAGATTGAGTTCAATATCTGGAGCTTTTGGCGGTCCTTGTGTACACTTCAATTTGTCTTGCAAGACAAACAGTAATACCCATAATCCTTAATTTTTCCCCCCACTAGTAAAATGTCCTACTCTCTTCTCTCCACCTAATGGTCTTACACAGTAGGAAGCCACTGTAAGCTTTAACAAGAATGGAGTCAATCAATTCCTTTTTTCTAGCTCAGTTCTCTGAGTGCTTCCCAGGGTCGGGTACTGAGCCTGGCCTGGGCTTTCTGCAGAGAAAAAGCAGCAGCAGGAGCGTGATGGTTTGGAAGTGTGAGGTGCCTCCTTTCTCTCTTGGCTCAGGCAAGGGAAAGCAAAGAAGCACCGCAGCTCTTAGTCATGTCCTCAGTGAAGCAACACTTTGCTGTTCTTCTCTGTGTACTTTTCAGAGGCATTCATCCTCATTATAGCAACCGGAGACACACAGGCACTTCTTCCATCCTCACAGTTTGGTGACCTCTCCAAGGTCCCTCACTTACTTAGCAATCAAGTTGAGGACAGAGGCGAGAGCCCAGGGCCTAGAAATAATTTGTTATCTATTTCCTTTCCCCCCTTTTCTTTCTTCCTCCAGAGAACTCAGCCTCTCCAAGGTGCAAACACCATGCTCTCAGCAGACTGACGATGGAAGGAGAGGACGCTGGGCGATCCTGCACTCGGGTTTCCCTGGACCATGGATGGAGGGCAGCCCGCCCCTTCGCCCCCAGTGCCCTTCGGGAACACGTTGTCAGATGCTAGCATGTCTCTGGAGCAGAAAACCACATTTGCTTTTGTGATTCTGCTGTTTATTTTCTTGGGCGTCCTCATCGTCAGGTGCTTCCGGATTCTTCTGGACCCGTATCGGAGCATGCCAACCTCGACCTGGGCTGACGGACTCGAAGGCCTGGAGAAAGGGCAGTTTGACCATGCTCTGGCTTAGCAGTGCGGGAGCAGGACCCCCTACGGAGGAGGAGAACTGCTTCGTGTCTTGGCAAGGAACTCACTATCGTCAATGTTCTCAGCAAATAATCAAGTTATAGTGACATCTGGTCCTAAGACCACAGCTCAGTCAACATGCTGTTGGGTTAAGATATTTGAGCATATTGGAAATGGAGACTTATATTACTAACCCAAAAGACAAAGGTTTCAATTTCTGTGTTTACTCCCTGAATGAATGTTGAAAAATGTGGGATGATGAAACCAAGAACATCGATGCTGATATGAACTTTGCCATAAAATGAAGCACTATCTGACCTGATTACAGACTAAAGACTAGGAAAGGTCGGACCTGAATCTGGTGACAGGGCCAAGAAGAGACTTCCTTGCTTTAACTGTGCCCCTCACATTATTTTATTTTCATGGACATCTGGGTCCCAGGCAGAGAGTGAGGAAGATTATGCTGACTGGACCAAAGGCAGGTACTTGTTTTTGCCTAAAGCAAGGAGTATGGGCAAGCCATGGGAGGGCTGAGAAGACCTGGTTCCATCCTGAGAAAATATTGAGGATGATATTTTATTTTTAAAATAAAACTGAGTTCAAAGGCTTATAGAGGTTTAAAACTATTTACCAGGCCAGGTACATTCTATATATTCATATAAATAACAAGTATAGAGGTAGCTATACATAACCTGAATTTACTTTCTTTATACAAATAACTGAAATAATAAACTAGAAGGGAAGCTTCAAGTTGTATTTTTGTGTGTATGTGTGTGTGTGTGTGTGTGTGTGTGTGTGTTTTTAATGTGTGTATGTGTCTATGTGTGCTTTTTTTTAAAATAAAAAGTTAAGTGTTTAGAGGAGGAGACTTTTACAGTCTCAAGAGAACTGTGTGTTTATGACTGAATATAGAAACCAAATAAAACTCTTCAAGGCACAGAAGTGTCTCTTCTTTTATTTCTCTGAGACCACGTGCCTGGAGGCCATGTGGTATATCCAATGCTGAGTGTCTGAGTGTTCTGAGAGTGAGAGGAAAAGCAAAGACCATGAAAGGTCATTGGATTCATCTCTCTGCCCTTTCAGGAAAGGCTCCGGTTTTATAGGTCTTGAACCTATAAAACCTATTTAAGGACTATTTAATTCCACCAAAAAGAGAGATGTAAAAACCTCTTATTCTGACTTTCCTTGGTGAGAAAAACCTTGTATTTAAACTAAACCCCTCAGGCTGTATTTATAGTCTATGTCTTTTAATTTTCTCCTCAGCTAGCCATCATTTTTTAAATAAAAAAATTAAAAAGATAATTATGCCTAAAAAGGTAGCCCTTAGTAAAATTGCTTTCTTTTTTTTTTCTTTTTTAAAAAAACCCATTCTTTGGGGATTCTACTGCCTAGATTTCTCCTTCCCCATGTTCCCTTGATTTTCTTCTTTTACTTAAAGAAAATAGCTTTATTGCAATGTAATTTGCATGCCATAACATTTACCTTTTTAAATTCTATAATTCAGGCCCTGGCCACTGTGGCTCTGTTGGGTGGAGCATCATTCCATGTACCAGAGGTCATGGATTCATACCTCGTCAGGGCACATACCTAGGTTGTAGGTTGGATCTCTAGTCTAGGCACATATGGAAGATAACCAATGTCTGTCTCTCTCTCTCTCTCTCTCTCTCTCTCTCTCTCTCTCCCTCCCTCCTTTTCTCCCTCCCTTTCTAAAAATCAATTTTAAAACATTTAAAGTATACAATTCAGGTCTTTTATTATATTTACAGAATTGTGCAATTATCACCACTAATTCCTGAATTCAGAATTCTATATCTACTAGCAGTCACATCCCCCTTCCTCGCAGCCCCTAGCAATCTCTAATTCGCTTTCTGTCTCCACGGATTTGCCAATTCTGGATATTTTATACAAATGAAGTTGTAGAATATGCAGCCGTTTATGTCTGGTTTCTTTCACTAGTATGTCTTCAAGGTAAGTTAATTTATATTGTAGCATGCTCAATATTTCTTTCCTCTGTATGGCCAAATAATATTCCATTGCTTGGCTATATTATGTTTTGTTTATTCATTGGCTAGTGTGAAGAATGCTGCTATAACATTTGTGCACATTTCTGTATGGATATGTATGTTCAATTCTTGTATCTATTCCTAGGAGTGGATTTGCTGGGTGATAAGCTAACTCTGTGTTTAACTTTTTGAAGAACTGTGAGACTATTTCTCAAAGTGGCTGCATCATTTTACATTCCCGTCAGGAATGTAGGAGAGTTTTGATTCATTTCTAATCTCTCTCCAATTACTCAAATTTCTTCTTTTGCTGTAGAATTATAATTGAACACATTGCTTCAAGAATGAGTCTGATGAAAAAGAGCAAACCACCTCGTGGGTTTCTCTGTGCTAAAAGTTTAGTGATGCCTTCCAAGATCCTTTGCTTCTAGATCTAAAGCAAAACACTGATGCTGAGGTGTGGTCATCCTGTGGTTGATTAAGCCACCTGAGTATTTTTGGTGTCTTAACAATACATAGTTCCTTAACCCACTAATTATAACATTTTCTTTTTTCCCCCCTTCAAATGCACCATGCCATGTTTGTCCTTATTAATTTTTTTCTTATTTTATTGGGGGGTCAAATCAAACCCATTCACATATTTACCGAGCACCTGCTTTGAGCCTGGCATTTCTAGCCCTGGAGAGAGAGAAAAAGCAGAGGGCTAGTTCTTGCTCTTGAGTACCTCTCTACCTTGTTGAAGAGCTAAAAAGAAGGTATGTGCTTGAATCATGGTTCAAATGATTAAGATGGATCTATGGCTCTCATGTCATTAGAATCATCTGGGAATTATATATATCTCCACAAACTAATTTTTATTTTACAAGTTGTACATTGTCATGGTAAAAAAAAAAAAAAAACAAACACAAAAAACCAAAAAACAAATGTAGAAACAATACGGAAAAATAGCAAGTAAATGGCAACAGTCAAAATTCTGCTTCCTTAGGTCACTCCTGGGTTTCTCCCAGGGAGCTTGGTGGAAATGTAGATTACTACAGCCTTCCATCTCTAGAGGTTGATTCTAGTAGAATCAGGTCAGTGTACAAATGCTTTAGGAGATAGAATATGGGAAAGATGGATGTAGGCTAAGACAGGCAAGGAATTGTTGTGGAGGACTATGGCTCGGATATGACAGTCCATATTTAAGTGTTTGGTATAAAGCTTTATGCCTATGCAAGTTATCATAATGGAAAAAAAAATTTTTTGACCTAGGAGATGGAGGTGTTTCAGGTATGTGCAAAGAAAGAGAGAAGGGAAAACCAAAGAATAAGGAAAAGGAGGTTAGGTTTACAGCCTAACTAGAGAACATGGTAGGAGGCACAGCTGGAGCTCACGTGGGAAGGATAAAGCGAAGCTGAACATCAGAGGCAAAATAAAGTTTGGGAGTCGCTGTAGATTCCTGAGAAAGACATGACATGAAGCGTGGTTGTCAACTTCAGTTTCCGCCCTTCCTCAGGGCAGCACCAGAATCCACGTCTATAATGGGAACAGACTGAAATAGCCGCCCGCCCTCTATGAGGCCTCTGAGCACAGGACCGCCAGCCAGGTCCATAGGGCCTCCAAAGCCTGCTCTTCTTTCTTTCCTCCCGTCAGTCCCCACTCTATTTTTGTTTTTCCTTCTCCGATTACTGCTCCTTGTTCAACCTCCCCTCACTGGGTCTCTGTCTCCATTCTTCCCTTGTCCAGATCAAGAGTACCATCACAAGTGAGAAAAGGCTTTGGGCTATTCAGAGTAAACCGATCCCTCCTGTGTGAAGTGCTAACACTGTTTTAATTACTCAGGGCTTCTTGGGGTGAACAGAATGTTCGGGAAAGGTCACATAAGCTGTCTCTGTCCTGGCTGTCTGGCTACAGGAGTTACAGTACAATGTTTTGCCTACCTTACAAGATATTTATAACGAGGACAGCTGCCCTCTACTGCTTATATCTGCATGCCAGGATGAAAAAAAAAAGTACTTTCCCAAGGTTACTCTGGAAGACAGTTGCCTTTTGATTCAGAAAAAATGTGGCAAACTCATTCTCAGTCTGAGTCCTGGACTGGTTTATGCCCCCAAGAGACCCCAAGTTCTAGGTCAATAGTGCTCTCTCCAAGGGAGCTTTTTAAAATATCTTAAATATGGAGTAAAGTAAGTCTAACACGAGGTGTGAAAGAGATTAACTTGACTCCTGCTGTTAAACTAATGAACATTCCAAGCCAGATCATTCTCTCGCTATGTCTAAGGGTTAAAGCTGAAACAAAATAAGCAACAATTTTAGGAGGCAGAAGTTAGAACAGATGCTTATAAATACATAAGAAAGAAAATGCATTCAAGTTCCTTTTTATTGGACTCATTACCTCATCTTTTACTGAAACACTGAGGATTTTGTATTGTAAGTATATTGATAAATTTGATGTGATGAGAAATTTTGCTTGTCCACCATAAATCATCTTTTAAAAACTTTGTAGTGTCAAGATGCCGACTTTCAGAATTGACATGTAGAATACACTGAAACACAATTATTTTAAAAAAAAAATACTTTAAGCCCCTAAGTATTGAGTAAATTGTGAGACATGATCTGTGACCTCTGTGATGTGTGTCTTCTGAGACAAACTGAGCAAGAGGAGTCTCTCAATTACTGATTAATCACAAAGCTGTAGAGCAGGGACATGATCTCCAGAAAAAGTACCCAAATTACTATATGTGCACATGCAATCTGGGAGCAAGCTGGCCTGTGTCAGAAGAGGTTGTTTGTTTTGAGATGCAAAAGAAGGACCTCGTAAACTTTGTATCTCCTGTTTCTTAAAAGAATAAATGAATCCTTTTCAGAGAGATGTCTACCTCTTCAGAAGCAAAGCATCCTCATCCTACAAGGCCCAACACGTCAGCCAGTCTGGGGCTTGTTCCAAGGGGCTTTTTATTTTGTTTTGTTTTTAAGAATAGGATTCCCTCTGGGATTTAATATACAGTGAAAATTTTGTTTCTTG